ATCTTCAAATGCAAATTTATTGCTAGTGCCTTCCAAATTCATATTTTCTGACCATGCACCATACCCCAGCCCAGTCCGATAGCGGACTGGGCTGGGGTACCTTGAAGTAACTACGCCTTGTCATCAACTCATCGTCATTTATTTAATAATTTTGGGATAACTTTGCGGACCACTTCGGGTGCTTTCAGGGACCACCAGTGGTCCACGGACTACAGGTTAAGAACCACAGCTTTAAACAAAGACATAGTGACCTATTTTTGTGGTGGAAAAGTTTAAAAGGACTTTTTCCTAATTTGAGCAAAATAGCTATGAAATATTTAAGCGCCCCAGCATCTTCCATTGAAAGTGAAACAATTTTCAACACTGGAGGTAACATTTATGAGCCGGCAAAAAATAGGTTATGCCCTGAAAATGGTGAAATGTTTTTGCATTACAATTTAAGGGTTTTACAGTTTGAATATTAAATTTTTATTTGTTTTATATGTTTAAAGTTTAAACTTATAAAACAACTAAAAATTTAATTTCTCTTCTTAACATATTTAATACTCTCTTTTTTATTTAAAGTTTAAACTTTATACAGTATTATACGTTATATTATACTTATAATATTTATCGATGAAAGGAATAATTTGAATTGTAAAATTTTTCTAATATTCAGTTTGTCATGTAATAAATAATAAGTATATAACAGAAATTTATTAGGTTTTATTACTAGCATTGTACGTAACATTCTAACAAAAATACCAAAATGTATAATTGGCCGATTATCGAAACCGATTAATCGGGGAAATAGCCGATACCGATTAATCGGCTAAGTGGCCGATACGGCCAATTAACGATTACTTACCGATTAATCGGTGCATCCTTAATATTTTCCAAGTTCTTAATTTATAACACTATGTGAAATATCCTGTATAAAGTATTGGTAAAGGTATAAATTATTATTTATTGAAAGGAGGTTAAATATTCTTTGTTGACTAGTATTTTATATTTTAAATAAGATATCAATGCAAATACCATTGCATTGGTATCTTATTTAATGGTAGTTACATATTTTGTTTGAATAGGCAATGTCATTTTTTAAGGTCTAATCTGACAATGAAAACTAAATTGTTTGAAAACAATGTTTTATCAAATAACAAATTTTTGATGCCATGAACTAGTTTGAAGTAGTGTCTTATTAATTGGATGAAAAATATACATATAGAATATTATTTAAAATCATAGGCCTATGAATAAAAGAAATTGAAACTTCATATTAAAAAGTTTAAAATATATATACATTATTTTAAATTTAGCTAATTGACTTAGGAAGCAAATTCCCACAAACTAGTAACTGTTTAACTTTATATTTTATATTTTTAAAATTATACACACAAATACATGCAAAAAAGATTGTGGAGTTCTTGTAATTATTTTTATTATATATTGAATAATATAAAAATATATTAATAAGATTTGTAAACATTTTTTGATAAAAATAATTAAGCAACAACCAAAATGTTATATACAAATAATATAATTTAAAAAATGTTACTTCTAGTGTTAATTATAACAGTTGAAATAATGAGATCATAAATCTGTTGTCCTTTGTTTATGCTTGACAGGAGAAATAGCATCAGTCTTATGTGAATGCTGAGACAATAAATTTATTTTACTCTAGTGTGTGTAAAAACTGTGACTTGTTTTTAGAAATACATTTTATTTGATCTCTCAAATGTTTTTTTTTTTTTGTTGTGTTTATACAGTTAACATTTTTTTATTTTGTATGTTTGCTAGCTAATTATATTAAAATCAACAATCAACATTTTATCAAATGCATTTATTAAATAGAAAAATCTACAGATAAAAACAGAGAAAACTCACTGAGTACAGCATTAATAGTTTTATTGTAATTAAAAAAGTTAATATGGCACTCAGTGAGTTTTCCCTCCTCTTACCTAATATTTGGTGTGAGGCAAGCAGTATTGTGAAAAAAATATACATTCTTAATATAATATTAGTATGAAGGATTAATATGAATAACAGATATTTGATTTAGATTTTGTATAAAATTTGGAAATTTTAATCTAATATTATCTGGATTAAGTCCAAAATTTTGTTTTATATTTACAGTTTTCTCTTTTGAAAAACTGTTATTCCTTAGATCTCTAAAAGTAAAATACAAAAGAAAAATCTTTGTTGAGACATTCTAAAAATAACATGTGAAAATCTAATTTTTCACAGGTTATTTTTAAATAAGAATACAATGTTTCTTCAGATAATTCATTTCCTCTGTTATAATTTATAAACTGGGAGAAATTTTAAAAGGGTTATGCCATTTTATTTTGCTTTGAAGAAAATAGCCTTTTTGAATGTAAAATTTATGATGTTTTGTATAATGCAGTAGTGTTATGCACCAGCTTAATTACAATAGTTTAATATTTGATGGTTGTTTTTAATTAGCTGTATTAAACACACATATAAATATCAAAAGTTTGAAATAAAAATCTAAATTATTACCCAAAGTTGCCAGATTAATTAATTGTGCCAAATTACTAAAGATGTAATAAAATTAAATATTTTTATTATATATATAATCCCGCTTTATATATTTCGAGGGTCTCCATATTTCTGAACTGATCAGTACAGTGTGATAGCCTGATCAGACGGACATTATGTAGATCAGCTGTGATTCCCAGTTTAGTGGCAATAGTTGAAAGGGCAGTGATAATTAGGTGGTGGCAGTATAAAGCGTGATTACATAACATGTGCATCAACTCTAAGGATGCAGTCAGCATCTCTCACGCATGGAAATTTTGTTATGAGGGAACACACCCTCATAACTGGCTTTGATTTGTATATATTTCACCAGCATTCAACATTTCACAAGCTTGATTTTACACGTGCTTAACTGTCATTTCAGCACGAGTGTAATGTTCTATTTTTAATTTTAACATTGCTGTTCTAAAGTTTGAATCACATTCGTTCGGTTTCTTGTTCCATTTCGCACATATTTGAATTTTTCATAAGGCCAGGAACACACATGCGTAAAATTGTGTGGCAGAAAACTGAATCAGAAATCAGCTTTCAGTTCAGTTTCTGTTTTACGCTTTTATGCCAGAACACACATACGTAAAAATTCTGTCCGAATAGAAAACACCACTGCCACCAACAGTACTAATTTTATTAATTTTTTCCTCTCATATAGGCTATCTATCCCTTTGTACCTTCCATTTTTTCTACACTTCCTCTGCTATAATATAGAAAATTTAAATTAATAGACTCGTATTCCAAATTCAAATAAAGAACGTGTGATATAAATACTAGGCCTATATATCGATTCTACTAGACTTACCTGTTATTTGAAATTTAACACCTGTAGCCATCCATAAACGTTGTTTAAATACAGTGTCTTTATACATGACACTGATTTGGTCGAACGGATTCAATAAACTCCTCTATTTCATTTATTTTTCGTTTTTTCGAGACCATCACAATTGTAGGGTTAACCCTCATTGCCGCCATTGTTAGAATAAAAACCACGTGTCTATCACAGGAAAGACTTCTCTTTATTGGAGGAATTTTGGCGTAAAAATTTTTCGGCGTAAAAAGTAGAGACATGCTCTACTCTATTTTCAGTTTTGTTTCAGCCAAAATTTCAGAAAAATTTTTACGTTTTCTGTTTTATGCTAGATTTTACGCCGAATTTTACGCACGTGTGTTCCTGGCCTAAGTGTAGCCTGAGGAAAACCCTGATAGGGTTGAAAACATTTGCTGTTTTGTAAACACGTATTACTGGAGTTTCAAAAGGTTTTATGTGATGACTTATTGTAATAATCATCCATTTAACTTTTATTATGAAGTAAACTACATTGGTTGATCTAAATACCAGTGTATTAGTTGTATTCAATATTATTGAATAATCTCAAATGATTTGCTGTATTATTGGGTTAATTAATTTAATAGTTAGATGAAAAGTAATTTGATTAGAGGTTGGTGGTTAGGCTGCATCACAAGATAAATATAATTTAGAATTTCTGAAAGAAAAGATCTGATACTGTTATCGATGTTCAATGTTAATGATACTGGAAAGTATCAAAAGTTAAGAAGTTAATTAAGGTCATTTAAGTATTTCTTTCAAATTATTTTTTATATACTGTATTTGTCACTAGAGCAAGACTTTTGGTATAGCCTGCTCTCTGGACAAAAAAGTAAAGATTTCCTGTCATTTGATAGGAATCATTATCTAGTTAGTGATGTGACTGGCTTTGGTCACTTTTATAAACATATGTAACAACTGAAACTTTCTTCTTCAGCCTTTTTTCACTTTTGTGGATTTGCTGAAGAAACTGATCTTAATCTCATTTGTATGTGTGTAGTCTCTGCTCAGGTAGATTTGGGTTCCAATTTGTTGATTCCTGGTGAAGTTGCTCAGCTTTTCTTCAGAAGGTTGCTGTCTTCTTTTAAAGAAATCAGACTTCTGAAGAAATTTCATAGAGTGCACAATGGACCTTTTAGGTCAACATGCATTTGGCACTCACTTGTACAATGACAAATCAGAATATCATGACAAATATATTAACTCATTTTATATTAGTAGTTGTATTTGTTTTGTCTCTTTTTGAATTGTATTGTTTTCCTTATAACATCAATATTTTTTTTACTCCAAGAATTATCCACTGAAAATGAAAAAAATCACCTAGTGGACAATATTACAGGAAAAGCAATATTTAGATTTGTTAAAGAAGAAAATAGCATGAGTAAAATAACTATAAAAGTTTTTTCATCATATTAAATGAGTAAAATTCAATTTTATTAATTAGACTATGTAAAATAGTCTAATTAATTTTTATTCTTTATTTTATTTTATGCATTTTTTTATTTTATTTTTTTATTTTATGCATTCCTATCAGTAGTGTCTAGTATAATTTTTTAAGTGGTGATATAAGGTTAAGATACATAGAAATTAATGAAAGAATCAATAATCATTTAATTTAATCTTTTTAATTTCTTAATAGGAATATTTGGTCTAATATGGCCTCTAAAGATATATCACCTTTAACTTCTCCTACTCTGGAAACAGAACATGTATGCAATTTGTGCAGTCATCAATATGAACAACCTCGTATTCTTTCATGCCTCCATGTTTACTGTGAATCTTGTTTGGAGAAGCTCTTGCAAGGAACTACAGATGAAAAGTTAGAAGATGAATTAATTTCTGTTACTGGTGCCTTGATTTGCCCTGATTGTGGTCAAGAAACAAAGGTTTATATAATTAAAATTTATTATGTTTATTGAAATAATGTATGAATTAAAAGAAGTATGCTAAATGACTGCTGGATTAAATCAAGCTACTTTACCACTATTATTTTTAATAGAATTCTAAATAACATGGTACTAGAGGTAGGTGTTAGACACCATATCTTATTAAATTTAATAATTTTAATTAAATTAATATTTAAATAATTTAGAATATTCTGGAAGATAAGAATCAGCCTGGGGCAGAACTGGAACCTGCAACTCCCGTTTACCATGTGGATGCGCAGCCAGTTACACTACCCAGACCTTTGTTCTGATCTTTCCTTCCAGACATTTAATTTTCATATAACCATCTTCAGTTACTTACAGCACCAACTGGGGATGCCTTCAGTGCCTACATCCAATACATAATCACCTGCTATGGCACTCAGCCAGCCTGATTAGGTGATTATTGGACATGGGTACTGAAGGCATCCCCAGTCAGCATAAATAATTGAGAGTGGTTATATCAAAATTAAATGTGTCTGGAAGGGAAGATCAGAACGAAGGTCTGGGTAGTGTAACTGGCTGCGCATCCACATGGTAAACGGGAGTTGCAGGTTCCAGTTCTGCCCCAGGCTGATTCTTATCTTCCAGAATATTCTAAATTATTTAAATATTAATTTAATTAAAATTATTAAATTTAATAAGATATGGTGTCTAACACCTACCTCTAGTACCATGTTATTTAGAATTCTATTAAAAATAATAGTGGTAAAGCAGTCCAATTTAATCCAGCAGTTGTTTGGCATATTACTAAAATATTGGTCTTTGGGTTGTTTATATAGTTAAAAAAAAAGTATTCATAGTTTTAAATGTAATTATTTATTTTACTTTTTTCTGTTATAAACTGTTATTGTTGCCAACATTTCAAAATTATTTTTGAATATACAGAAAATTGGATACTATTTTGTCATTTTTTGGGGACAGCAACATACTGCTTATAGTAAAGAAATAAAGTGAATTGTTAATGATTTAAATTCAAAAATAAAAAATACTCCAAAAATTGTTCAATAAAGCTTGAGTTAATTGAATTGCCAATCTTCTGGTTTTAGTTTATACTATATTTTTACTGCATGGGTATTTAACAGTGCTTCTAATTGTAGAATGTTAATAAACCCTATAATAAAAAAAGAGTCTGTAGACATTTCAATTGCTTTAATTTGAAATAGGTATTTATTAAATGTTATTTTGAATATTGTTTTTATTTTTGCAAACTACAGTATATTTTGTTCTCATATTGTTTTTATATCTTTTTATCTTAACATTAATTTAATTTTCATTAGTTAAATACCAAGTTTTTATATATTGCAATCCATCATGCAATATATCTTAAAAAACATTACAATCATCAGGAGTCTATTTTTATTCTAAACTATAAAAGCATTTTTTGCTATTTTAATAAAAAGATTGGTTTTAAGGCTGTTTGTTATAGCTATATAAAAGTAAAATTGAATAAAATTCAGTACACACAACATTGACCTCAATGCTATTTTAACATAATAATTGAGATAGCCAGTAGAAAAATATCCCAAGCCAATGAAATTGTGATTTCCTGTTTTCACTGGTTGTAAATTGCATGTCTGCATGCATCTCGAGGAAGCACGATGTCCCAGATAAGACTTAACATTGCTGTAAATGATGTTCACTTTCCCCTAAAGTTCTGCAACATCTAAATTCTCAGACTTGGGATATTGTTGAAATGTGCACCATCTTGCAGTGTTTGACTGCATGATGGTGCATATTGATAGGGAAGCAAAACATGACACACCAAACCAGATGAGTTGCATGCTTCTGAAGGAAATGATGAAATTCAAGAAAAAAGGAAAAACCATTATGAATGGAAGAAATGCCAAATTTACTTTTTTGCCAGACAAGTATGAAGTGGCTGATTCATATGGGTGGAAGAATAATGCAAACATTTACTTTGCTAAAAGGACATGGCTGACCACCAACAGCATCCACATGAAAATGCTTGAAGAGCCTCTACTTACAAAGCAAAGGAAACTCAATTATTGATGAAACTGCGACAGTATTTATTGAAAGTTTGGTGGGGTCTGGCTAAATTTCATTTAAATATCTGTGGTGATACTTTATCCCATCTTTATTAATGGGATAAAGATGACTCTGATTATGGTAAGTAATGTGTTAAGAGCATCCATTACCATTTTATATTGTCTTCATTGTTATTTGAGTGATATTTTGAAATAAAATGTATAAAAATGTCTTATTTATTTGATCATTAGAACATCATCTCAAATCAGCTTCTCAAAAATGAATATCGCATCAACTTGATCACAGAAGATGATGAAATTTTGTATAACAACATATAAGTGGTTCCACAAATCACTGTGGGTATCAAGTTGATATAAAATAATTAATAATTACTTATTAAAGAATATTATTTAAAAAATCTGTCTCCTGTAAAATCAGAGTTGGGACACTGATCTTTCAGAGAACTCAATTATAAACTAGAATATTTATTATAAGAATAATAAACTAAATGCTTCATTTTTTAAATAAATACAGCCGTATTCCTTTATCTAATTTCCTGTATCTGAATTCTTGTTACAGTTAGTGGTTTTTAATACCCATCAATCTATCTAAATTGAATAATCTCAGTATAGACTCCTCAGAAGTTTGAATCCTAATTGTAGGATCCTTATCAATACCAATTTCAATGGGACAGACATAACTCAGAAGACAAACAGATTTATGTTACTAAATTATTACAAAAGTTGCTTCTAGCCCTTGATATAATAATATCAATTAAATTAAATTATCCACAACTGTGAGGCAGATAATAGTGAGGGCTTATCAGACCAAATGATGGGCACAAACGCTCAGAGATCAAAGTGAAAAAAAAAGTAATAAACACAAAAGGTTACTACATAAGTATGAAAACGAAAACCCAAAATGCATTTCGGACTATTTCCTAACAGAAAACAGTCCCTCATCAGTTGGTGTTAGTTAAAGATAATGCCATAATAGAATTATACAAGGTAACAGTCAACTTAAAACTAAGCTTAAAGTTATACAATGTATAAGTTGAGGACACCACTGTAATGGTATGAGTAGTTACATGAATGACTCAAAATGCATAACTCTAGCATAAACAAATAAAAGAAATCTGTCTTTTGAGATATACCTGTTCCATTGAAATTAGTATTAATAAATATCTTACACAACATTTTACCTTAAAATATTTTTAATTTTTACATATAAAAATTACCAATACAGCAACTTAAAATTTTGTACAAAAGTTTTAAAAATGTAATATTTTTAAAAATTATTACAGATTTAAACTACTACACAAATGTTGTTACTTAATAAGTCATTAACATTGAAAAGTAAGTTTATTTTATTTATTATTGTAGGATTCAGAATTATGACATCTGGAGTTACATAGCACTTTAGTTTTCTTACACAATCAAATCTTTCTAACACATCTTTTATTACAGTTACATTCAATTGAAGTTTCAGCCTACTTGGATCTGTGTTTTGTTTGTTTTTCTAAACTTATTGATTTATATTATCAATATTTATATAATTTTGATTTTGGACATAAAGATCATCAATGATTTCTTTCTTTGTGCTAGTTTTGTCAAATTCAAATATAAGCACTAACATAAAAGTTAATCATTATGGTCAAGTAATAGAGTGTCTGAGATATAATATCAAATATTTCAGTAAAATATTTGACAATGATGGATAAAAATATAATGGAATCTAGAAACTTCTGTCAGTATGAATTGATTACATTTTTTTGTACTCTGCCAAAAATCTTTCAGATTAACTACGGTTTATCCATGAAGATTAAGACAATATGTAAATTGCCCAATATATTAAAGCTGAACTTAAAATTGCTTATTATAAACTGGACAAAGCTTAGAATTGGAAACTTAAGCTTTGCTAATTAGCTTTAGGCAATCTTGGTTTTTCTGAGCAGATGTTAAATTTGCTGTGACACTGGGTTTTGACTGTAAAGTATAACCTGGGTGGGAAATAAATTCTAGAAGTTGCAAACATGATCCAATTAAAATAATATTAGTTTAATTATATCTTGTTTATATCATTTGGTTTGTGGTAAAATTGGCTTCATTATATGTCATTTTGCTTAATGTCTTAATTTCCAAGAACTTATTGATGACACCATTAAGTGAAGACTTGCTATACTTATGTTACATACAAGTTCTACCTGTAACAATTATCTATATAATTTCACTATTCCTAGAGATAGTTGAATAATAATTAGTTCTTGCCTTGATTTTATCACATGCTGTTTTCTTTCTTATTGTATTTCTAGTTTTTTAAGTTTTGGGATTTTCATAAATGTTTGTTCTTGTGAATTATTAGGCAGCTTTTTAGAAGTGTATGAAAAACACACAAATTGGTAATCTATGCGTTGTTTTCATTTAAATATCTGTGGTGATACTGTTGAATTGTATTCAACTATAGACTTTATCATAAATATTAATATGAAAAACTACTTAAATTATCAGTTTTAGTGTTTTATGTACATTTAAAATTTGACTTAATGATTCAGTAAAAGTTATATTCTGAATTATTTTTTCTTTTATTAAATGTGAAAAAAAATAATTTTGACATGATTTAAAATTTAGTGTATATTGAATGCATATAGATTTAAAGTTCGATTTTTTTAATTTTGATATGTTTAATGCCTAATGTTTTCGTATAAATTACAGATTTCAAATAAAGGAGTTTCGGGTCTACATCTTGATTATGTATTATGTAATCAACTGGATATAACTGCTATTGAAAATATGCAGATTGTTTGCACAAGTTGTAAAGCTAAAGAAAAAGCAGTTGCTCGTTGCACAGATTGTGCAACATTTCTGTGTTCAAATTGTGTTACAGCTCATCAGTACATGCGCTGTTTTGAAAATCACAAGGTAATAGCCATTATTAATAATACAGTTTTACTTTGTATTATATTTTATTTTAAAGTTTTAAAGATCTTAACCCTTTGAAGCAGATGATATGTGGATGTTCCATTTCTTTAAAATTAAATCTTATTATAATTATTAACTATATAGACTTGTTTTTGGATAAAATATAAAAGTATGGTTACTATTTTATAACATTTATTTTATAAATATTTTTTTTTATTACAATTGTATAACAGCATTAAGTTTGAAAAAGTTTTCTGAAAAATATTTTCTTGGTTTAATTTTTTTTAAATAACTAAACTGAGTTTTTCTGTAGTAATAGTTGTGAAAGTTGTTATTTTTAGAGTTGGGACAATCCCAGCAGGTTCGTTTTACTTGAAATATTGATATGCAGGATTATTTATCACTCCAAAAATACATACAAAGTAACATATGTAAATACATATTGCATATTTCACTAATTTTGAAGTTTTGTAGGATTCATGATAAAATAAATATGTAATGTGCATCTAATATTAAACATTCAATTTAAAATACTTTCAAAGTGTCTGTAATTTATAAATCTTTTCTTTTAATTGAAGTTTATTAAATTATATCCTAAGTTAATATTTAATGAGAAAATGGCTTTAAATTAGTAAATCAACATACAATTTATGATTTTAATATTTTATTATTATAAATACAGGCTGTGTTCAAAAAGATTTAGGAATGGGCATGTAAAATAAAAAAATTATCAAAGATAATATAATTTTTCTAATTTACATTGGTCACTTTTGTACATTTACATGATAGTATTCAAAGAACTAGCTCACATGTGTTTATGTAATAGATTTCATTTTTATAAAAAAATAATAATAATTTAGTATAACATCTTTTACACACGTCATAAAGATATGAAAGAACAAAGAATTATGAATTTACTCTTGAAGGATAAACAATTAATCAACAGTTTTAACTTAACATCTTAGGGCAATTACACAAAACAATCTTTCTGAAACAACCTGAAAATGGAGATAGAAAAATTAGATACTTTATCATATCAATGCTAGGCTACCTACAACCAGTAACAATCATTACTTGGTGAAAAGTAGAAAATCATTAAGGCCTACAACTAGTGATGGGACAATACCAAAATTTCTCTTGATTCTGATTCTGCTGAAAACTCCCAATTCCTATACAATTCTTGATTTCAATTCTTTTGAATACTTTCTAAGTTTGTTATATAAATTCAGAAAAATTAATGATTTACATTATGAGAATGGTACATTCAGTAATTAATAAACATCAAGCTTAAGAATAAAAAATGATTGGGAAATCCAGAATGAATCTTTTGAAAGAAACCAAAAATTCTCTATTTATATTTGGATATGCATACTTTTATTGTGTACTACAAAATGAACTTTTAATCTTATTTCAAATAAAGTTAGTTCTTGAACACTACCCTCAAAGAAATTACAGCTAATGATTATGATTAAAAATTGCAGCCTGGCATTGTGACATCATCACAGTGCCAGGCTGCAATTTTTAATATATGCTCTCCACTTTAAATTAATAGTGTACATTATAATTTTCCTGTTAGCAATAAAGTTGTGCTGGTCATCTATCTAACTTCTTTCAGGGTCAAATACTTGTATTGATATAATGTGACTTCTGGTTTGCATCAGAAGTTCATGTATAGTTCTCCTGCCCTTAAGCTTTCCATATCCGGTTTCATCTTTTATGTATCTTACTCTGTTCTTGAGATTAAGGAAATACAGATGGACGGACAGCAGTGGGAATTTATAGTTGTACAATTTTTTCAAATTGCAGCTCATAAAGCCTAAAAAATAAACCTAAAAAATTTAATATTGAAAAAGTAAGATTGGGGTAACTCCATTATGAAGTAACAGCTATCCACACAGTTTCCTTTCTCCATATAATTATCTACATCATTCATGCATGCAAGAAAATGCTTGATCAAGCATGACGGTGACTTTTCTCTCCCAAAACAGGTTGTGTTAAATACTACAGAACTATCCCAGCATGGCATCTCATCTCTCCTTAAATGGGGACAGTTAATATTGATCAAATGCACTCTCTCCATCAGGCTGCCTATACGAAATAAAGAAGTTTGCCATGGCAAACATTGTCACATGTATGGGTTGCGGTGCACTCTGCTTTTTCAACACGAATCTTTTCAATAAACTGATACTTAATTGTTAATATCATAATTTAAAAATGCTTTAATTTTCAACTGAAGCAAATAATGGATTTACTTATTAAATGTGGAAGAATAATTTTAAGAATCAGAAATCATGATGAGATTTGCTTGATTTTGATTCCTGAAAAATGTTTGATTTTTCTGATTCTGATTCCAATTAATCATTCCATCACTACTTATAACAGTCCTTTCTGGAACAAAAGCAATGTTTTGAAGAACAATATATAAAATTCTCATTATATCTGATATTAGCTTCTATGTGAGAACTATGCTGTTTATATTTAATGAAAATGTATTTCATTATCAGGATCTGTATTTCATTAATTTTGTAAGTATAAACAGTTAATAAAATGTGTGTTCTAGTGAAAACCTAATTTATATACACCAATAACTCAGTAAAGTATACCAAGCAATATAATGTCACCAAAGCATATTAATATTAATTGTAGTCTCAAGAAAATATTCATGAAATAAATTTAACATATTTTTTAAAATAATTTTTGTCATTAACTTGATCATTATCAATTCAAGCATTGCTGAGTTTACCATTATAGAATTGCTGTCATAATAAAGTTAACTATGACCAGTTTTCTATATATTGAGCCATCATTTTTTATAAATTTTTTGAACTTGATTCTTCTATTAGCAAACTTTAATTACAGAAAGCAAAACTGCAATCATTGTGCTAAGTCTCTCAGTCCAGTGATATGTTCTAAATGATGAAACATTCCAAATATGTTTCACATAAGTTCAGTTTTTACTTGATTTTTGTCAGTGATGTAAAGTCTTCCTAATGTCTAACTAAACAAAGTGCATCAAAACTAAAGCAAAAGGAAATAATAACAAAAATACAAAAAAAAATTCAGATTCCATCCTTATATTACTATCACAACTTGAATTTTTTACAGATGTGGTCTGAATATATTTATAACACAGTAAAACTCATTAATTCTAAAATCAAAGGACCAAAAAACAAGACTGAATTATTTGGGTTTGAACTTTTTTGAATCAAATTTTTTTTTGTAATTCTTGAAGAAAATTATGACATTATCTTATATAATTTCATCTGTTCTGTTACAAATGCATTAATATTACTAGTTATTACTTACAAGGAGAGGGTCAAATGTTCAGGTCTCTGATTTGAACAAAACTTGGTGAGCATGTAGGTATAAACACACACAGCTCTTTGTCCAAATAATAGGACCCACTTCTCAAGTATTTCCAAAAAACAGGCCTATGAAAATTGAGTGTTTAGCTTATAAGTCTGGAAGTTTTGCATCTCTTTGGATGATGATAGCCAAGTGGATAAAGTGCTAGGCACTGGAGTTACACAATATAGGTTCCAATCTTTACAATATATTTAATCAACTTTGGAATTATTAAAACAATAGAGTTTTGCAGAAAATGTCCTGAATAATTAAATGACAGATTTCTTCCATAAAAGTAAAAAAATTATTGTCATTGGTGATGCTGTACAATGCCGAAATGATCTTGAACAGATGCCCACTCAACAATGTATAATTGGTAAAACTGAAACCAAAAATGCCACTTGGGCATGGAGACTTTTCTTATAAACATGTAATATGATGGAAGATTTCAAATTATGCAATTTTTTTTCAGGTTGTGGGAGTAGCTTTTAATTTAATTGTATGCTTACTTCAAATTATTCAAACTAAAATATATGCCAAATTCTGTTCTCTTGGCCATGGAGTAGACTTGACTTTGAATTACGTGAAACTTTAAATTATCCAATATCAAAATAACAAGGTTTTACTGTACTAGGATTATTCAGTCTGAGTATTGCCTTGGATACTAAAGAACATCATTCATTGTACTAAGAATTGGATATAAGAGAGTTTGAATATTAGGTTATAGCTGTATTTATCTTTTGTGCATAATACATTTTCAAATTTTATTGAAACATAACCCTTTTGTTTTTAACTGAAGAAATAACAATTTTTCTAAAATAACAATAATATACATAATATATTATGCTGTATTATTTATTCTATCAATATTTATAAAATAATCTTCTAACACCTTAATTTAGTAACTTCACAAATTATAATTGATTTATGATGTTTCTGTGTTTTTTTAAATATTGGAGAAAGTTTTTTTGAAGATTTTGTTTGTGTTAGTTGTATTTACCATTATTAAAAGACAGTTTTTCATTGATCAGAATTATCCCTTTTTTGAATTTGGGTTTTTGTAAGTTAATAAAAAGATATTGTGGAATTTATCATAAGAAGAAAGTATTTAATATTTTAGTGAAATTAACTTTCTCAGCATTAGGATTTATTTTTGTATGTCAAGATATTTTCAAATAATTTATTAATTCTAAAGTTAAAAAATAATTTTTTTTTAAATATAAATTCTTTCTACAGTTGCATGATCTTTTTAAGCAGAAATATTTAGGTAATTACTTTTTGTCATTTTTCTTACTCTTTATTTAAAAATTTCTCCAGATTTTAAAACATGGTATGTCATGATTACCTTATTGGTTACATCAGTTTTGTTATAACATGCCTTTAGCCCAAATTTTGTTTCTCTGCTACACATATTTTACATTTAAAATATAGCATAAACATTTATGAACAGAGAAAATTATTACTACATTTTTAATCCATAAAAACATTAAGTAATACTAAATACAATTGAATTGGAACCAAATCAGTAACTATTTAATGAAAAAATGATATGATAACTACAATAAAATATTTCCTGAATTAAAAATTATGCTTGCTTTTGGTTAAGAAAAATTAAAAAAATGCAATATTTTTGTGTGTGTATATGGTTGCATACATTTTTCTGGAAACATTGTTATGCAGCTAAATTGATATATAATTTATTATATTAATATAAATAAATATCCGAAGACAGAGACAAAGTCCACCCAAAAGGGACCACCATTTATTAACTTCATGTTCCAGACTGCACTTATTCTTGGTGACTGACCTTTCTGTTTAGATTACTGGCTGCCAAAAAAACTAAAAAGTCCTTTTAAGAAACAAAAAAAATATATCCATTTAAAAATACAAAAATTTTTAAAAAGGAACTGGTGACATAGGGATGTCTTCATGGTTTCCATCTATACCTTCTTGGGGGTGTTTCATCTTTTTATCTATGAGGAAATGGGCTCTGGAAAATGTAGATTGTAAAAGCTGCCGCCTGGTGACGATACTTTATAAACTTTAATTTGTAGATTTTTGTCTGANAATCTTCCGATGAAGTGCTACCCGTTATTTTTTTGGAGGGGATTCCCCTTCTAATCATTAAGGTTCGTATATCTTCACTTTTCTCCACCAACTACAACAAACGAAGGTATTATTAAACAAAGTTTACATGTTTGTTGCTGTAATGATAGATACTACATTTTCCTACATTTTCATCAAAGAAAATTACTGTATATTTCAAATAAAATGACAAAAATTTTGGAGACTAGAACGAATTAATTGCATTTGCATTAATTTCTATGGGAAAAATTGCTTCGGTTAACGAACAATTCAGTTAACGAATGGAGTCGCAGAATGGATTAAGTTCGTTAACCGGGGTTCCACTGTAATAAATGTAATACCCAAAAAAATTATATTTTGAAAGTTAGTTTTAATATAAAAATTATAATGACTAATGACATCTAGTTTCAAAAATGTTCCGATGCTACAACAAGATATCTTGGGTCAACTGGTTGAGGTCAGAGGTCACGACCTCAGATATCTCGGGAATAACACAGGATAGGTTAAGAAATCATTATATGCTAAGAAAATTATGTGATTTAGGTTCATAAATTTTTAATTTTATTAAAAGTTAGTTTGAATTTCAAATTCTTATTTTGGAATTTGAAAACTCGTGCACTTTTAAATTTGAAATTACAATTACATCTGTAAACTTAAAAGTGTATTATCAATTTAGGTAGTATCCTTTGAAGACATGAAATCATCCAGTGATGGGATTGCAATTCATAAACCAATAACATGTTCAGCACATTCAGGTGAATCACTGAAGTATTACTGCCATACTTGTGAGGTAAATTATTTTTAGTATTTTTATTTATGATGTATACATTAATATTGGTGGGGAATATTATTTTTGAGAGTAATCAATTTGGAGATTTTTTCTACAATATAATTCAATGTAACTTAGGTTCTTATTTTCATTATAATTTTAAATTATCAAATATTAGATTTTTTTTTATTATAAATTTAAGATAGTCATTATCTTCATAAAATATAAATACAGTGAATACAAAATTATAATAATTCTAAACTTAGAATTTAAAACTAAATTATTTTTAAAAATAGAATTAATGAAATGTCTTATACTTGCAGAAACATTATTATACTTAGTCTTAACTTGACCTACCACAATGGAGCCTAGGTCTTCTTATTGGTGGCACCCGTAAGCTCTGTTCACATGTGCCATGGTGTTCTGTAGTTTGTAAAACTTGTTTATTGATGAAACAACAGAACACAATATACATTTGGTTGTAAAACTTGTTAACATTTATATGTTATCAACTTTTCAACCAAATGTAACAAGTTTTTCTTGTGTTAAATTTCCATGGAACCAGTAGAATGATATAATAGCAATATCATCACCACCAATAAGAAAGCACTCATAAGTTTCACCAATAAGAATGTTTTGGTAGGTTAAGTTAATACCAAGTATAATTACAAATGAATTGAAATAATATTTTGTAATTCAGCAGTATATTATAACAATAATAAGTCTGAGTTGCATCTGTCACTTTTATCTTGTTTCACTATAAAATTCTGTATTTTTAGTTGTTCTGACGATCACAATATCTTCTATTCTGAATACCGGTATTTGGACAATCACGTACTGACTCGTTTAACCTTTACTGTCCAGTACTGCTTAAACATCGTAAAACAAATGTTTTTTGGTCTCACTTGAGGTATGCTTCAGGTTACAAGAAAAAACTGGTTTTCAATGTAAAATAAATTAAAGCAATGGGATTGCTTATTATAAATATTTAAAATAAAAAGTCTAAAAAATTCTTAAAATTNTAAGTGGTTCCACAAATCACTGTGGGTATCAAGTTGATATAAAATAATTAATAATTACTTATTAAAGAATATTATTTAAAAAATCTGTCTCCTGTAAAATCAGAGTTGGGACACTGATCTTTCAGAGAACTCAATTATAAACTAGAATATTTATTATAAGAATAATAAACTAAATGCTTCATTTTTTAAATAAATACAGCCGTATTCCTTTATCTAATTTCCTGTATCTGAATTCTTGTTACAGTTAGTGGTTTTTAATACCCATCAATCTATCTAAATTGAATAATCTCAGTATAGACTCCTCAGAAGTTTGAATCCTAATTGTAGGATCCTTATCAATACCAATTTCAATGGGACAGACATAACTCAGAAGACAAACAGATTTATGTTACTAAATTATTACAAAAGTTGCTTCTAGCCCTTGATATAATAATATCAATTAAATTAAATTATCCACAACTGTGAGGCAGATAATAGTGAGGGCTTATCAGACCAAATGATGGGCACAAACGCTCAGAGATCAAAGTGAAAAAAAAAGTAATAAACACAAAAGGTTACTACATAAGTATGAAAACGAAAACCCAAAATGCATTTCGGACTATTTCCTAACAGAAAACAGTCCCTCATCAGTTGGTGTTAGTTAAAGATAATGCCATAATAGAATTATACAAGGTAACAGTCAACTTAAAACTAAGCTTAAAGTTATACAATGTATAAGTTGAGGACACCACTGTAATGGTATGAGTAGTTACATGAATGACTCAAAATGCATAACTCTAGCATAAACAAATAAAAGAAATCTGTCTTTTGAGATATACCTGTTCCATTGAAATTAGTATTAATAAATATCTTACACAACATTTTACCTTAAAATATTTTTAATTTTTACATATAAAAATTACCAATACAGCAACTTAAAATTTTGTACAAAAGTTTTAAAAATGTAATATTTTTAAAAATTATTACAGATTTAAACTACTACACAAATGTTGTTACTTAATAAGTCATTAACATTGAAAAGTAAGTTTATTTTATTTATTATTGTAGGATTCAGAATTATGACATCTGGAGTTACATAGCACTTTAGTTTTCTTACACAATCAAATCTTTCTAACACATCTTTTATTACAGTTACATTCAATTGAAGTTTCAGCCTACTTGGATCTGTGTTTTGTTTGTTTTTCTAAACTTATTGATTTATATTATCAATATTTATATAATTTTGATTTTGGACATAAAGATCATCAATGATTTCTTTCTTTGTGCTAGTTTTGTCAAATTCAAATATAAGCACTAACATAAAAGTTAATCATTATGGTCAAGTAATAGAGTGTCTGAGATATAATATCAAATATTTCAGTAAAATATTTGACAATGATGGATAAAAATATAATGGAATCTAGAAACTTCTGTCAGTATGAATTGATTACATTTTTTTGTACTCTGCCAAAAATCTTTCAGATTAACTACGGTTTATCCATGAAGATTAAGACAATATGTAAATTGCCCAATATATTAAAGCTGAACTTAAAATTGCTTATTATAAACTGGACAAAGCTTAGAATTGGAAACTTAAGCTTTGCTAATTAGCTTTAGGCAATCTTGGTTTTTCTGAGCAGATGTTAAATTTGCTGTGACACTGGGTTTTGACTGTAAAGTATAACCTGGGTGGGAAATAAATTCTAGAAGTTGCAAACATGATCCAATTAAAATAATATTAGTTTAATTATATCTTGTTTATATCATTTGGTTTGTGGTAAAATTGGCTTCATTATATGTCATTTTGCTTAATGTCTTAATTTCCAAGAACTTATTGATGACACCATTAAGTGAAGACTTGCTATACTTATGTTACATACAAGTTCTACCTGTAACAATTATCTATATAATTTCACTATTCCTAGAGATAGTTGAATAATAATTAGTTCTTGCCTTGATTTTATCACATGCTGTTTTCTTTCTTATTGTATTTCTAGTTTTTTAAGTTTTGGGATTTTCATAAATGTTTGTTCTTGTGAATTATTAGGCAGCTTTTTAGAAGTGTATGAAAAACACACAAATTGGTAATCTATGCGTTGTTTTCATTTAAATATCTGTGGTGATACTGTTGAATTGTATTCAACTATAGACTTTATCATAAATATTAATATGAAAAACTACTTAAATTATCAGTTTTAGTGTTTTATGTACATTTAAAATTTGACTTAATGATTCAGTAAAAGTTATATTCTGAATTATTTTTTCTTTTATTAAATGTGAAAAAAAATAATTTTGACATGATTTAAAATTTAGTGTATATTGAATGCATATAGATTTAAAGTTCGATTTTTTTAATTTTGATATGTTTAATGCCTAATGTTTTCGTATAAATTACAGATTTCAAATAAAGGAGTTTCGGGTCTACATCTTGATTATGTATTATGTAATCAACTGGATATAACTGCTATTGAAAATATGCAGATTGTTTGCACAAGTTGTAAAGCTAAAGAAAAAGCAGTTGCTCGTTGCACAGATTGTGCAACATTTCTGTGTTCAAATTGTGTTACAGCTCATCAGTACATGCGCTGTTTTGAAAATCACAAGGTAATAGCCATTATTAATAATACAGTTTTACTTTGTATTATATTTTATTTTAAAGTTTTAAAGATCTTAACCCTTTGAAGCAGATGATATGTGGATGTTCCATTTCTTTAAAATTAAATCTTATTATAATTATTAACTATATAGACTTGTTTTTGGATAAAATATAAAAGTATGGTTACTATTTTATAACATTTATTTTATAAATATTTTTTTTTATTACAATTGTATAACAGCATTAAGTTTGAAAAAGTTTTCTGAAAAATATTTTCTTGGTTTAATTTTTTTTAAATAACTAAACTGAGTTTTTCTGTAGTAATAGTTGTGAAAGTTGTTATTTTTAGAGTTGGGACAATCCCAGCAGGTTCGTTTTACTTGAAATATTGATATGCAGGATTATTTATCACTCCAAAAATACATACAAAGTAACATATGTAAATACATATTGCATATTTCACTAATTTTGAAGTTTTGTAGGATTCATGATAAAATAAATATGTAATGTGCATCTAATATTAAACATTCAATTTAAAATACTTTCAAAGTGTCTGTAATTTATAAATCTTTTCTTTTAATTGAAGTTTATTAAATTATATCCTAAGTTAATATTTAATGAGAAAATGGCTTTAAATTAGTAAATCAACATACAATTTATGATTTTAATATTTTATTATTATAAATACAGGCTGTGTTCAAAAAGATTTAGGAATGGGCATGTAAAATAAAAAAATTATCAAAGATAATATAATTTTTCTAATTTACATTGGTCACTTTTGTACATTTACATGATAGTATTCAAAGAACTAGCTCACATGTGTTTATGTAATAGATTTCATTTTTATAAAAAAATAATAATAATTTAGTATAACATCTTTTACACACGTCATAAAGATATGAAAGAACAAAGAATTATGAATTTACTCTTGAAGGATAAACAATTAATCAACAGTTTTAACTTAACATCTTAGGGCAATTACACAAAACAATCTTTCTGAAACAACCTGAAAATGGAGATAGAAAAATTAGATACTTTATCATATCAATGCTAGGCTACCTACAACCAGTAACAATCATTACTTGGTGAAAAGTAGAAAATCATTAAGGCCTACAACTAGTGATGGGACAATACCAAAATTTCTCTTGATTCTGATTCTGCTGAAAACTCCCAATTCCTATACAATTCTTGATTTCAATTCTTTTGAATACTTTCTAAGTTTGTTATATAAATTCAGAAAAATTAATGATTTACATTATGAGAATGGTACATTCAGTAATTAATAAACATCAAGCTTAAGAATAAAAAATGATTGGGAAATCCAGAATGAATCTTTTGAAAGAAACCAAAAATTCTCTATTTATATTTGGATATGCATACTTTTATTGTGTACTACAAAATGAACTTTTAATCTTATTTCAAAT